AAAAAAAAAAAGAAAAAATAAAAAGAAAGAAAGAAAATGGACTGAGGGTGCAGCTCAGTGGCAAACTGCCTATCTAGCACACAGGAGGCCCTGAGTTTGATTCCCAACACAGCAACAATAACAGAAAAGCAAATCTTCAATGTCGGGAGACATGATCTCACGGGATCCTGATTTGCAGGGATTTAAGGCTGATAAAACAACTTTAATTTGACATGCTCATAAATTTGACACTTGAAGATTTGGACCAAATCCTTGAAAGCCACCAAGTACTTGTCAGACAAGACGAAACAGATTACCTGAGTAATCCTAGAAACATTAAGGACTGAATTTTTAATCAAGCTAATGATAAAGGAATCTTCAGGCTTGGATGGTTTCAATGGAAATTTTACCAAATGTTTAAAGAATAAATACCAAGTTTATACAGTATCTTACAAAGAAGAAGGGAAAGAAAGGGAACATTTTCCAAATCATTTCATGAGACCAATTATTACCCTACTAGTAAAAGCAGAGACAATACAAAAACAGAAAACCACAGACTAATATTGCTCATAAACTTAGATACAAAACAATTTCACCAGAACACTGGCAAACAGAACTCAGCAATGTATAAAGAACAATATACCCTATCCAAGCAGGATTTGTCAGTGTGCAAGACTAATTCAACATTGAAAATCAGCCCTGTCAGCACCCTATCAATAGTCTAAAAGAGAAAATTTTATCAACTGTCACAGAAAAAGAGCAAGAACATCAGGCTTATTCACTTCCCCATACCTAAGAGCAGGCACATGAAAATATTAATGAATAAATAAGTGCTTTCTCTATCTTGTGTTAACAACCCCGTATAAACAGATCATCAGAATCCAAGAGAGAAGAACTAAAAGTTGTTAATTAGTGAAAAGAGCAATTTCAACTATATACCTTTCCTCCAGTGAGTAAAAGGGCTCCATTCCTAAGTCCTGCAACAAGGGACATGAACTGCCGAGACAAAGGGCGTCCTAGAAGGCTATGTGTGACGTGCTCCATGCAAGATCTGCCTACAGAATTCACGCCTCTGAAAATATATAAATTGTTATGTGGTAAAAGACTGAAGTAGGATAAAGTCTCACTATAAAATGCTGAAACTTTCTTTCTGGATCTACTTAATGAATAGAGTAAAATTTTTATTCTTTATTTGAGATAAGGTATATTGACTAATGCTGTATCTGATTCACAGCTTTTAAAATTAGTTTTATTACATTAAAACATGTGCAGTGACTAACAGTTTGCCCTAATGGGATTATTCAAGGGATCTGCCTTGACACATACACATTCCCCTACCCTCAAAGAATTTTTAATTTGGTAATCACTTTAATCATAAGTGAAGTGCTTAGGATAATTGAAGACTTATTTCCTCTTAAACATCACCTCTGAAATCTAGTTTCAATCTGCACATTATTGAACTTTAACCTTCTTTTGACTACAACTTTGATAGAAATAATTCCTAATATTAGAATCCAAAGAGATTTTGTTCTATATTAATGCATATTATGTTACATTTAATGGTATAATCTTTTACTAAAATATTTACAGACTATACTATTACAGGAAATGAAATCACTACACTTACTAAAAACCTCTTTGAAGAATTTTAAGGACTAATTATATATACAAGATTCTCTTCTTGTATAAAGAATTTAAGAGAGGTTTTTACATTTGTCTGAAAAGTTGAGAAAACACAATCCCAATTATTATAATAATGAAATAGTGAAGGAATAACTTAATTTGAAATATTTTTAAACATTCAACTAATATTTAACTTTTAAATATTTGTTCTAAGAATTATTGTTTTATTCATGTGTAGATGATCCAGCTGCTATCTCCTTGCTTTCTTCTCACAAACCAATTCTCAAAGTAAAGTTTCTAACAAGTTTCACACCTCTAGTTATCTAAGATGACAGGGAAATTTCTATTCGACCTGTAAAAAAGAGGCAATCCTTTCAAAAAATCTAATGCATTAGCAAATTATTTGCTGACTTTCACCCCTAATTTAATCTTCACACATAGAAATCCTGCCAGAGATAATGTCAAGCATATCTCTAAACATGCTAGTTTGGCTATAACTTCTTACCCCAAAGAGTTCAGCTTTAAAAAAGGAAGAATAAAGTCAATTTCCTCACTGTTTTCTTCTTTTACCATAGGATCTAGAAGGACCTACAGTAGCAAGGAAAAATTAATTTTACAATTCAAAGTTATGTCTTTTGCCTGTTTTTCTTGGGTCTGAGAAAACTGAACTGCTGATTCTATTATACCACTGAGCATTGATAAATTGTGCATGCAAGATTATTACTTAAAATACCCCTGACAACAATTTACTCATCCACAGAACAAATATTTATAGTCAATGAGCAAAAAGAGTATCATCTCCTTAATACATTTTACAGACTTTATCTGCAATTTTAACTTGTGTCATATTTACTTTTTTCACAATTCTGAATGTGTCTCCTCTGAATGGTACTCTTTCAATTATATTTAAAAAGAAATGGTATCTACTTAAAATCACTGAAAATTTTAAATAACTAGTGAATCTTCATTTCTATAAAGAGAAGAGCAAGCATCCTCACTAAAATATAATATTCTAAAAAGAACATTCATACAGTACTTCAGGAAGAAAGTATTTGTGAAGAGTTGCAAATTTAAATTGTCAAAATAACAAAATTGCACATAAAAATATAAATTTTAAAAATCAAATCCCTAAAAGTGTTTTCATTGGCTTCAAAAACAAAGTTTTAAATCATGATTCATTTGGTAGTTAACAATCAACTTTATTCTTGAAAATTAATTGTGCGAAGACACTGATTTTTAAATTTAGAATAAATCAATAATTTATATAAGTAAGAGATTATAGAATAAAATATTTTAAATCAAGTTATTCCTTATTCTTAGCATATGAGTTTCTAACACACTTCATGATGCAAGTTCTTGTAATGACATTCCCACTTTATTATCACATGTGACAAATATTATTTTATTAAATATTCAATAAATTCAATAGTGTATAGTTACTTGCACAGTGGTCTTCTGCAGCAGATTGGTGCTCAACAGAAAAATATTTTTTTCTTTTTGGTTTTCTTTTTCACAATGAACTATACTCAGAGAAAACTCTTTCAATTCTATAAAGAGAAAGTAATAAATGGAGAATTCGGGCTGAAACTAAGATGAAAAACTTTTTAGATTTTAACTATCAAATATATTTAAATTAAAGACATTCTTCAATATGCAAAATGTGTTCAATTATCAGTGTTTTACATATGACACAGGTTGGAAAAAACAATTTAAAATGCCACAATTATCTCAGTGGGAAAAATACTCAAATAACAAATTTACCATCTTTAATTTCCAACTTAATAAATTCTTCTTCTGGTACTAACAAAGGAAGCACAGTGGTAGCAGATTCCTGTAGCCACGAACAGAAGGTCGCTTTTATGTCTTCTTCACAAACATCTTTAGGCTACCAGAAAAAAAAAATAGTAATTAATTATTCTAATATCTGACAATGTTAACACCTTTATTTTAAAATTTTTTCTTCCTAATAAAATGTAAACCTTACCAAACAAAACCAACATAGGATGTTCATATTCTATAAACACAGGTTTGGGATTTGACATTAGTTAGTATGATGAATATAGCATAGCCCAAAGAAACATTTATATAATTGGCAAAGTTTTAAATGCTCTTTTTCTCCATGTTCAGCAATATAAATATTAGAATTTGATTCTCTCAGTAACCAATACATTCCAACCTCATTCTCCCTTGTCTCCTGTCACCAAAACAGGAAAGCAATCCTCCATTGCCAGCTTGGAGCCCCGTGTGTGTGTGTGTGTGTGTGTGTGCGTGCGTGCGTGTGTGTGTGACTTCAATGTGGCCAATGGCATGCAGTCAGCAATCAGGAAGGCTGCTCTTCTTTATCAAAGTAAAGAAACTGTGCAAGGAGAGATTTTGCCTTGTGCCTTTCCTTTTGCTTCCTGGAATGCAGACAAGATGCTTATTAGTACAACATACATATGCATTTTACAGAAGGAAAATCACAAGCTAAAGATGGCAGAAGAAAAAGACTGATGTAGCTTAGATCCTTAGATACACTGTTTAACTGCCCATGAGCCTTTCAAATTCCCTGTACATGAGAAAAAAATTTCTGATACGTTTAAGCTATTATTCTTTTTTCTGTTTCCCTTTAAGCTGACCAGTCCAGTTATACTCAATAAAATGTTAATACACTGTTCAAAAGTATAACATTCTAAAAAAACACTGCTAATTTAAATTTAAAAGCGTTTAAGTTTTTATAACCTATTTCAAATAAGGAATGAGGATAACAAAAATTCATACAGAAAAGATTATCAATATTTGTTCCCCTAAATAAACCTCTATTCCCACCATTTCTCAAACTGGTCTATTTCTGGTCTATTTCATCCAGAGGCAAGCTTAAATCTGCTGATTAAGTGCAGTTCAGAACTTGACCACTACTAAAAGTAGGCTAAGAAAAGGTGTAATTTCCTCATTCTTAAAATTCAGAGAAATAGTTACTTCTTGGAATATGATTGGCCAATGTAACTAAACACTTAAAGTCATAAAATGATGCTGAGAGCTACTTAAAATCAGGAATTTTGGGAACAGAAAGTAACTCATAGTTCCTTTAGAATGAAACATCTTTATATTCCAAGATATGCTGTAATCATAACCCAGAGACTTGCCAAAGGTCATAAAGTTTCCTCTAAAATATGTAACTCAAGATAGGAAATGATTGTTGTGGTAATATTCTATCATTGAGACAAAGTTCTAATGACCAGTAGCTAATTATTTTCTTACGCAAGGGACCTAGCACTTAAAAAATACCAATATCAATAGCTAAAAACTTAAAAACCCTATGTACTATTTAACCAATGTGGTAAATGCTCAGCTACATACTGTTATGAAAATAGCATTTATCCTATTTTCTGGTTTCCAAAGTAGATAATATAAATTATCTGGTGTTCCATCAACTAAAAAGGTTCTGTTAAATCGGTTCACTTATAACATAACCATCATAATCCTAAAATTCCAAAAGTTTCATCTGAATTATCAGAGAAAGATTCAGTTATGTTTGGAGTTTCTTGAACATATAATTCAATAGTAACTTTTCTGTATTATAACTGAGAACTGGTACATAGGAAATACTTTTAAATTAACTTAAATATCTCATTTCCTAACCATACCACTTTCCAAAGAATTGACTGGGCAGTAAAGTAAGAGACGTCAGGTGTGGTGGTGCGTGCCTATAATCTCAGCACTCTGGCGGGGCATAGGCAGGAGGATCCTAAATTCAGGCCCAACCCAGGGAACTCAGAAACTTAGTGAGACCCTGTCTTAAAATAAGAAACAGGACAGGCTAGGAATGTAGCTCAGTACAAGGGCTCTGGCTTCACTCTCCTGTACCATGGGGGAAAAAGTAAAGAGTATAACACTCTTTTGCGCTGCAAGATTAATAGAAAAGCAATACCAGTTTGTTAAAATACACTTTTTGTTAATATTCATCTCCCACTGTGTTATTAAAACAATCCTTCTTCAACGAAGAAGGAAGTGGTTGTCTTAGAAATAGTTTTGGTATGAACTCCAAGAAAACATTTTTTCACTTGTCTTGTTCTTGATGGCCTCTACTTTTCTAAGCCAGCTGCTGCCAGTTAATGTTTTATTGGCAATAATAAAAATTATCCCCCTTCTTTTGTACAACAGCAACACAGCAAGGTAGAATGTATTAGGGCACCAAACCATTTTTAGCCAGTTCTTCAAATATTATTAAATTTTATTAGTACATGTCATTGTTATGTGATGGTAAGGTTTGAGAAGTGGGCACATGTATCTAATATATCAATCAATTTCAGTCCCATTAGACTCTCCCGTGTCTTTTCTCTCCTCATCTTCTTCCCTATTTCTAGAAGTCCACCTCCTGGTACCCATTGTGTGCTACTGAACTTCCAGAAGTAGATCATTTAACCTGTTATATAAGATTTTTCCAACTAATTTAGCTTGATTATGTACTTTGAAAACTGTGATTTGTTTTTGTCTATGTGTTAGGTTTCATTTCTTGCTTAATTCAAATTTCAGACATTATGAAAATTTCATTTTTTCTGTAACTTCACACTTTTCTTTAAAGTTTAATAAACTGATGTTTGTACCTTAAAAAAAATAAAGCAACATGGCATAAAATTTTTAAAATTACACGGACACTACAAAAATAGCAATCTTAAAGACAAAATTATCCGTATTTGTAGACACTATTTACATCATATGCATACTGTTTATTAAAGACTTCCTGGCTTCTCAAAAAATTAAACACTTAATAGCCATATGATCCAGCAATTTCACTCCTAGGTACAGACCCCCAAAACTTGAAAATAGGAACTCAAGCAGATACTTGAACATCACTGTTCACTGCAGCATTATTCATAATAGCCAAAAACGTTGAAACAACCCAAATGTCCACCAACAGATGAATGGATAAAAAAAAATGGCCGGGGATTTAGCTCAGTGGTTCCACAACCTGCTTCGCAAGCGCAAGGTCCCAAGTTTGATCCCTGGTACCAAAAAAAAAAAGTGATGCATACATAGATAACAGAACATTATCCAGCCGAAAACAAAGAAATGAAGTCCTAAAAAAAAGAAATGAAGTCCTGATACGCACACAAAAAGGGATGAAACTTAAAAAGACTATGGAAGTGAATCAAGTCAAATACATAGTACAAACGTTCTGAGTCCACTTATACGATGAGGTAGCTAGTGGGAGTAAATTCTTAGAGACACAGTAATGATTAGAAGGGTGGGTGGAGAAGGAATGGTGAGTCATTGCTTAATGGGTGCAGAGCTTCTGTCTGCAGGGATGGAAATTTGAAAGTAGTGGTGGGTTGTACAACATCATGAGTGTAATAAATGCCACTGAATTATTTCTTCACTTAAAAGTAGGTTTAAATGACATATTTATGTTTTTTTTTTTTTTTTTTTTTTTTGCGGTACCTGCAAGGCAGGCATGATGTCACTGAGCTCAATCCCTGGCCCTATGTCAAAAAAGACTTCTTTGTCCTTACTAACAAAAAGAGTACAACATTGTTAGTTAAGAACTGGTAATCTTACAATACATGTAAAAGAATTTTGATATTTTATATATATATATATATATATTTTTTTTTTTTTTTGCACTCACTAGGTTCTCTCTAGGTTGTAATTTTAGAGATCTTGGAATTTTAGGAGTAATTTCCACTGGAGTTATTTTGACTACTGCATGCATTTCTATATTTAGTCTCTTTCTCAGGTCATCTGGAATCTGAAATTAAAAATAAACAAAAATTCAAATATGAATTATGTTCAAAGCCTGATTAAAAGACATCTTATAGCATAAATATTGATATCCATCTCTAGCAATGAGGTGAAATTACAGAAGCTTTCGTAATGACTCACAGTTTTCTTATTGTGTTCGGGCTGCTGTAACAAAATACCATAAACTCTGCAGCTTACAAATAACAGAAATGTCCTTCTCATGGTTCTAAAGACCAAAGAGTCTAAGATTGGGGCCCTGGCAGATTTGGTGTGTTAGGGTTCTCTTCAAAGTCCTTTCTGTGAAGATGTCCTTCTGGCTGTCTCTTCACATGGTGGAAGGGGTAAATTAGCCTTTTGCATAAAAGGGCTTCTTTCATAAAGGCACTAATTCCATCCATGGAGGCTTCATCCTCATGACCTAACCACCTCCCAAAGTCTTACCTCCTAATATCATTACCTTGGGGATAGGACTTCAACATGAGTTTCAGGAGGACACAAATGTTCAGGCTATAGCAAGAGTAAAACTAGGTGGAAGTATAGGTATTGTTAGACCACAAATATTTCAATTCCTTCCCCAGTATTTCTTTTTCTTTACTTATTGTTCAGAATTAGAACTTTAAGTAGATATATTTGGATAAAAAAGTGATACAAGGCTGGGGATTTAGCTCAATGGTTCCGCAGCCTGCCTAACAAGTTCAAGGTCCCAAGTTCGATCCCCTGTACCGGGGGAAAAAAAAAAAGTAATGCATACATAGATAACAGAACATTATCCAGCCAAAAAAAGAAATGAAGTCCTGATACACACACAAAAAGGGATGAAACTTGAAAAGAAAGTCTAAATCTAAATAAGTCTCAATCTAAATATCCTAAAGTATGGCATAATTGCATTTGATTAAATTTTACTTGGAATCTCTTAGTAGTTTTCATCTATGCAAATTGAGAATAAACAAAAAAGCTGGAGTGGTCAAAACTAATCACAGATAATCTGCACAAATGAACTGAGGAAGAAACTCAATCTAAAAGGCAAAGGGTAAAATTTCTCACCCACACTGATGAATATATCCTAAACTTAAGATTGTGGTGACAGTTTCACAACCATTGTACTAAAAACAAAAAACTTCACACTTTAAATTTTATCTCAACAGAGATGTTAAAAAATGTTCTCATTTCCCAAAGACTGGGAAGCACTGAAAGACATAAAGAAGACTTTAATCTTTTTTTTTGTACTGGGGATCAAACTCGGAAAGACAACTTTAATCTTGCCAGGTGAGGTGGTGCATTTCCCAGTACTTGGGAGGCTGGGGCAGGAGGACTGCCATGAGTTTGAGGCCAGCTTGGGCTATATAGTCAATTCAAAGGCCAGCCTGAACTATATAGCAAAACCCTGTCTTACTGGGGATTTAGCTCAGTGGTTCCCAAACCTACCCTGCAAGCGCAAGGTCCCGAGTTCAATCCCCAGTACCAAACAAACAAAACCCTGTCTCAAAAAAAAAGACTTTAATCTTGCTCTACTATCTATGTAATAGAATAGGTGCAGACATTAACAGTAGACAGAGGCATAAAACTCTAAGGTGGATATCCTGACTTAAAGACTAATAAATTTTAAACATTAGACAATGTCTACACACATCAAAACATCACATGGTATCCCAGAAATATACACAATATCATGTGCCAGTTTAAGATTTTTAACAATTTTAAAAAAAATGAATGAATTTAACAATCAAGTTTTCTAAAACAAAAACCACCACAGCAGAAAAACAATGTACTCACAGTGTAAGAAATGTTAAACTCAACATTGTTAGGTCTATTCATAAGTGATCAATTTTGATCTCTCAAGTCAAGCCTGCTGGAGTACCTGATGGCAACTACTGTCACTTCTCACTGCCTATTACTCTTCAACCTTTAAAGCAAGGCCAGAAGCCCAGGCTCCTTACTGCTATCTAGTCCCCAGGTCTTCACCATCAGCTCTTCTTCACTATATGACTTCAAGGAAGGAAAAGGATATTCTTTTTTTAAAAATGCATTAAGTTTATTGGTACATATTATATATACCATATGATGACACTTATCATTGGGAAGGATATTCTTGTCTATGGCAGAAACAACTAAATCATAACCTCATTATTAGACAATTTGAATTTGAAATGCAGTAGACTCTCATAAACTGATGATTTAAAGCTAACAGAAACAACAGTCTGGGGCTTTAGAAAACAATGGAATACACAGAAATTTTTAAATTACTTGCATTAGTTATAGGTAAAATCATAAGAGTAAATGAACTCCACAAAGGAGACAACCTTCCCTTTCTGTTTTTCATCCCCATCCTAATAGGTTCCTTTCATCATTATGAAGTCTCAATTTAGAGTGGTTCAAAATTAGGCTGAAATAAAGGGGTGGGGACTCATGTCATATAAATTTCTTCTCCCTGTCATATACAAGTTAAAACAGCAGCTACCAGCAGGGCAAGAAGCTTGCAGGGTAAGCTTCAGGATGGGTTCCAATCCAGGTACCATCACGGGAAACAAAAGGTTCTCTTCCTCTCCTAAGTATTTTCCCCAATTCACAAAAAGTCCTTCCTTTGGTCTCAAGACCTTAAGAACAAACCTCCTGTGGGTATTAAAGATGCAAGGCTCTGTAGGGTACTCCAAACTGAGCAGGAACCCTAGAGCCAGTCTGCCTGGACTAGAATCCCAGTACTACTCATAACTAGTTACGGAACCTCAGGTAAGTAATCTTGACCTTTCTGGGTCTATACATACAAAACTTATTTGCTCTGGTAAATATACAATCTTTACCAAAAGATACAGTGCAAGCAGAAATGTGTTCCCCTTTTCAACTTAAAACACTGTATTACGTTAGTTTTCAATTTATGTATAAAATATCATTCTAATTCAAAATTAGGGAAGGGTAAGCAGCATAAGTTTCCTCCCAAATTATAAAACTCATACTGACCCAAACTTTCCCAAGATGGAGAGCTTCTAGATTTTTGGTGTATGTTACAGCATTCTTCAATTCCTCAAGTCCATTCCAGACTACCTTTAGCACACAAGCCTTTTCAATTTCTTGGCTATGATCTGTGCTAATCTGTTTTTGATCTAGTGGTTCTGTTATGTGCTTCTCTTTTTCTGGAGAGAGGACATTCTGCTTTGTTTGACTTTGCTGTTGTTTTGGAGAAAGTAGCTTAACTAGCTTTCCATAGGTCACAGTAAAGCTGGGCTCCACATCAAAATATTCCTGGTCCCATGGAAATACATGAACAGCACAGTGTTTATGAAACACAGAAGACGCTGGTGTGTTATGTATACTGGGAGGCTGTGATTTGCATACTCTGAAAATATTGTCCAAAGGAACAACCTCTGACTGCATATTTTTGAAAGCGCTGATTTCAGTTGAACCCCAGGATGTCTCTTGTTTCTTCTCAGATCCAAAAGAAAAAATGCTTACTAGCATAGTCCATAAGCTTGGTATCGATGATAAGTTAACTGAGTCTGTCTCATTAGACCCAGTGACTGCCACAGTATTTGATTCCAGTTGCTTGGTTTGAAATTCTTTTATCGTTTCTTTTGGGTCTCTTCCATAACTATGAAATTTTCCACATGCATCATCTGCTTTGGCCTGGCGTGTCTTTGGCTGAATAAGGAGCCTGGTATCAGCTTCCAGCCTTCCATACATAACAGCTGGCATTAGTGCAACTGTGTAGAAAACAGAGACCATCAGTGCAGGGTCACCTCTACTGGGGACTCAGTGCTACAGTATAGAGTATGACAGTCATTTTTACAAGAGCACTTACCAATCTGGATAAATATGTAAGTTTGTTGATCAACCCAAACAGGGAAAATGGCTTTTGGAAAAACTATTCGAATTTGATCTAGAAGATGCTGTTCAAGAGAAGCAGCATGCAGTTCCTAGAACCAACAGAGCAAAAGATGAATTTACTTTACATTTTATCCTTTCTATGTCTAGTAAGGAAATCACAATTCATTTTTATTTTAATAAATATTGTGCATGTTTAAGATATACAACATGATGTTGTGGGATATACAGACATAGTAAAAAAGCAAATTAACATATCCATCCATCTCCCAGATACCCAATTTTTAAAAAATTTTTGTGGCAAGAGCAGTTAAAAACTCACTTAGCATGAACCCCAAATACATTACAATTTTTAAATCTATAGTCCTCCTGTTATTCATTAGATCTCTATGCATTCTTATAATTCAAACCAACTCAGAAAATATAATGAAGTTCAGAGCAATCCAAAGACAATGGTATTTTAAAGTAATTGAATCTTAAAATGAGAGAACTCTTGAAATTGAAAATGTAATAAAATATTTACCAAAAAAGAAAAGCGCAGGTCTGGATGGCTTCACTGCTGAATTTTACAAGACATTTAAAGAAGAACTAACGCCATTACTCTTTAAACTTATCAAGGAAATTGAAAGGGAAGCAATACTTCCAGATTCATTCCTGGAAGCAAGTGTGACTTTGATTCCAAAACCAGGGAAAGACCCAACCCAAAAAGAGAACTACAAGCCAATCTCCCTAATGAACATA